AACAAACTCCTCAGAAGCCTGCCCTCGCCGGATTCTCTCTCTCAGTGTCGGCTGAAGCTGCATAGCACTGACACTGGCACTGGTACTCCCCGAGACAGCTATGGGAAGTGCATCAATCGCCTGAAGCTGCATCCGGGCAAACTCATGAATCAACGGACTCTGCTGCGTAATGACGTACGTCAAGTCACCCTTCACCTTTCGGCTTAGGGCATCTGCGACGACGTTCGCCTTTCCCAGATGGTACTGGATAAAACAATCGTAATCCTTGACAAGCTCAAGCCAACGGCGCTACCTCATATTAAGCTCCTTCTGCGTGAAGATATACTGTAGACTCTTATGGTCTGTGAAAATCTCGCAACATCCGCCGTAAAGATAGTGTCGCCAGATCTTGAGAGCGTGAACGACTGCAGCTAACTCCAAGTCGTGCGTAGGATAATTCTGCTCATGAGGTTTAAGCTGACGTGAAGCATACGCAACGACCTGTCCGTCCTGCATAAGGACACATCCCAAGCCCTGTCTCGAAGCATCGCTGAAGATAGTGAAACTCCGAGAAGGATCAGGAATAGTCAACACCGGTGCTGAAGTTAATCTCCTTTTGAGCTCCTGAAAGCTCGCCTCATCTCCTTTTGAGCTCCTGAAAGCTCGCCTCACATCGGTCAGTCCACTCAAACTTCACAGACTTCCTAGTTAGCTGGGATAGAGGGAGGGCGATCTTGGAGAAGCCCTCGATAAACCTGCGATAGTAACCAGCTAAACCGAGAAAACTGCGAACCTCGGACGGACTCCTCGGTGTCGACCAGTTCTGAACGGCTGAAACTTTCGAAGGATCCACCTCGATGCCTGCCTGAGTAATCACATGACCCAGAAAGGATACTCGCTGAAGCCAGAACTCGCATTTGGAGAATTTGGCGTACAACTTTTCTCGTCTGAGGGTTTCGAGAACCACCCTCAGATGCTCCTCGTGCTCCTTCTGGCTCTTCGAGTAGATAAGGATATCGTCAATAAAGACAATAACGAACTGATCGAGGTAGGGATGGAAAATACGGTTCATAAGGTCCATGAAAACTGCTGGCGCATTGCTGAGACCGAAAGGCATGACGACGAACTCGTAATGGCCGTAACGAGTCCTGAAAGCGGTCTTAGCGATGTCTGACTCCTTAATCTTCAGCTGGTGGTAGCCTGATCGCAAATCAATCTTCAAAAACACACAGGCTCCCCTCAACTGATCAAATAAGTCGTCGATCCTGGGAAGCGGATACTTGTTCTTGATCGTCAACCAGTTAAGATCCCGGTAGTCGATACACATACGCATGGATCTGTCCTTTTTCTTGACAAAAAGAACGGGTGCTCCCAAGGTGACACGCTCGGTCGGATGAAAACGAGTCGTAACAGCTCCTGAATTTGGGTTTTCAGCTCCTGCAACTCCTTAGGCGCCATGCGATATGGGGCTTTGGATACTGGACCGGCCCCTGGGATGAGATCGATAGAAAACTCCACCTGACGGTTAGGCGGTCCTCCTGCAAG